TATAAGGTTGCATCCTTATATAAACTTTTTCCATATAAAAATGATGAGTAAAATTCAATATTACGGTGAATTTATTCACTTAATTAAAAAAGTATGTACGTCAGACAAACAATATTATGTGATTTTGGTGAAATTCTATAGTTTCAGTAAATCACGATAAAAAAAGAGAGGCATGCAACCTAATCATAATATTATTTTTCATTTGTAATTATCTTGTGATATTTATTTGGAAAATTATCACATATATCTCCCATAATTCCCTTTATTTTTCATTTAATACATTCCTACCCGTTTCTTAGTGATTTTTGTATAAAATGTACTTTTACCCCCCGCCACGGATCTATTACATCGGTGACACTCTTTAAACATGCGCTCGCCCCTCTTATACTAATAAACCACCACAGACTTATTAGAGCCGTGGCGAGATTTATAGGCTCCTTGAGCACCAAGAAGCCTGGTCGGAGGGTTCCAGGAACCCTTTGAGCTGCCACATACTTATTAGAGTCGTGGCGAGGCCGTTATGTTTGTGACAATTTATAGGTTTCCTGAAGCATCAAGAAGCTTAGCAGTCGCCACAAATCTATTAAAGCCGTGACAAGACCGTTACAAACCTGCTATGTCCGTGACGGTTTATTGTGAACCAAGAAGCCTAGCCAAAAGGTTCCAAGAACCCTTCGAGCCACCACGGATCTATTAGAGTCGTGGCAAGGGTATGTTTAAAGAGAGCCACATATGTATAGATACGTGGGAAGGGTAAAAGTGTCTTCTATGTAAAAATACTAGAAAACAGGAGGGATATATTAAACAAAAAATAAAGATAACTATAGGAGGTATATTTGATAATTTCCCTATTTATTTCATAATATATCTACATAATAATATCTCCCAATAATAATATTTTCCTGATATGTTACTTAAAATATAACTCCGGAAAACAAATAAAAAGTTGTAAACCAAACATATTTTTTTAGGTAATTTTTTATGTAAATCAATAAAATATTTTTAATCAATAAATAATTTTGCAAACAAAAAAAAAGAAACTATGGCAAAACTTCATACCAAAATGAACAAAATAAAAAATTAAAAATTAAAAATCATATATACCTTATTTTCCCCGAATTGTTTGAATGGCTCTAATGTGGCCATTTGGCACGATTAACTTACGGATGAAGTTTCTATAAAACCTCTCCTTAAATCTTTGTTCGGAAAGCACTTTCAGTAATAAAAATCTCCATTATGACTCTAAAATCAATTTTCAACACAGACAATAAAATTTGAAAATCAAAAAATTGTATAGATCTTACAGATCTTTGTACACATGTTTTTAGGACGAAATAGATGGTTTAGATAATTTGTTACAATATACACTACTTTTAAAGCTTGAAATCCTAATTTTCAAGCCGAGATGATCGATGTAAAGGTTTTCCAATGCTTGAATTGCAATTTTCGATGAGTAATAAGGTGAAGCTTTACGTATTTGATTGGGCTGCAGCCCTATCAAACTATTGTCCTTAACTTTTTTTTTGGGTAATTTAGTGAGGAAGACAGGTCGATACCCCTTTTTTTCAATAGATTGGGGAGTTACATTTTGAAGATGTTAAATATTTGATTGGGCTGCAACCCTATCAAACTATTTTTCTTAATCTCTTGTGTTTTTGGGTAATTTAGTGGGGAAGGCGTACCCCTACCCGTTATTTTCAATAGATTGAGGAGTTACATTTTCAAGATGTTAATTGGGGATACCAGTAGGCATAGATGGGTGTGGGGATGCTAGCGCCTATTTGTTAGTTGCATTGTTGAAATATTCTAATTCCTTTGAACCATTTGTTGGGTTGTATTTGTTTTTATTTTCCATTTAATGGAAATTATGGAATGTGTGTCTATATATGGCATGCAACATTCAAATGTATGCATGCATGGGCTACTATTTCATCTTTCGAAACTTACAATCTCTTATCATACATTTGGTTGACTAGCACACTAAAAGAATAACATTAGTTCAATTCTTCTTATTTTGTAAGGTGCATTTGATTAGCATCAATCTGCTTTTTTATTGAAATTACTTGTATGTTTTATTGAAATTACTTGTATGTTGGATATATTCGGATCATATAAAGTTTTTTTCTTTGGTGATATCAATTATCAAAATTTTCAGATAGTCTGTTAATTCAAGGCCATTCTCATATAGTGAACTTTCGATGTACTTTCTATAAAATAGATTTTTAGATAAGGGTGCGGTTTGTATGTAGCTGAGGTTCTAAACAATCAAAATTAAACACACCTTCAAATAGTGGTGAGAAATATGATTTCAATACTAGAAATCTTTGTGATAGCCTTAAACTATATTTTTATCTTTAGTTATAAAATTTAAAGTTTCAAAAATAGTGTAGATCGAGCAAATCTATGAAAACTTGACAATCTTGAAAATTGACGGTCCAAAAATGCGTTACAAGATGTACTTGGAATCCATTTTTTTCTCATGTCCATGCATCTTGATATCAAGATGATCAATATGTGGATATTTGAGCATCAAAATGACTTCTTCTAATGAAATTTTTGGGGTGGGCTCTAATTTGATTGTTTGAGCCTCGGCTCTATATAAACTTCTTCCTTTAGGTAATGGTTTAAGGCAATCCTATTCTAAAAAGGGTATGGTTTCTATAAGGTTGCAACCTTAAACAATCCAATTAAAGTGCACTTCCAAATTTTATCATAACATATAATTTTGGTGCAAAACTTTTTAGGATTATTTGAAAATCTATTTTCATATCTAATTATAAAATTTTAAACTCTATAAATGGTTAAAATCAATTAGATCTATAAACATATAAAAATCTTGAAAATGGACGGTCTAGATAATGTGTTGCAAGATCCACTATTTCTGGAACTTAAAATCTTTTTTGTTTTTTTTATATTCATTAATCACAATGTCGAGATGATCAATTAGAAGGTTTTTCAATATTAAAACAATTGTTTCCAATGGATTTTTTAGGTGCATCTGTAATTTTACATTTTAAGGTTGCAACCTTATATAAACTTTTTCCTTCATATATTTATATTCAAGTTGATTTAGGATTGTTTGTGATACCCAACTTTTTAAATAGATAAAGTTCCTATAAGGCTTAGGCTTTATGCAAACAAAATAATGCCTCACGTTCAATTTTTTTTTGGAGAACACTTTCGGCAACAGAAATCTCCATGATAGCTCTAAACTCAATTTTCAACAACGACAATAAAATTTAAAACTAAAAAAATGGATAAATCTTGTCAATCTTTGAATGCTTAATTTCAAGGGAAAATGGAAGGTATAGAAATTTTGTTATAATATATACTATTTTTAGAGCCTGCAATCCTAATTTTTTTTCTCAACTATAATGTCCAAGCCGAGATGATGGATGAAAACATTTTCTAGTGCTTGAAATTGCAAATTTCGATGACTTATGTGGTGAACCATTTTCCTTTTGAATTTTACCTCTTTATAGGCATACTGTATACGGTATTTCGATATTGTTCGCTTGATTTGACTATATAGTCCTAATAGCTATACTATACGTATCGCATGGATGCCTCAGCAACAATATGTGTATCCTCTCCCTTTGACACCTCAAATTCAAAAACAAGGGATGAAATTGGTGCTGAGGCTATGGCAGATGAACCCCGTAGTGATTTTCCCTAGGCCGATGACACAGTCCAACAATGATTTTTCCTCTGATGAAGATGAAGCTTATGCCTATTACAACAAGTACACAAAACCAGTAGGATTTGGTATAAGAAAAGGAAGAACCATAGTGGTATATACTAACTATGGTGTTGCATTAGATGGGCTAGGTCATGAGTTGTAATATTACTCTTTTTGCTCTTGTAGAGATTGTTCAAGAACTTGTAATTATTTTTGTATGTCATATCATATATAAGAAATGTACTATTTCATATAGATATATATTACTTATTGTACCCTACCTTGCTATGTAAGTTACCTTTATATATGTTGATAATAGTAGATAGGCAAGTTTTTCCTTCTGCGTCGTATATTGATGATATGCTTATGTTGATGATTTGAAAGAGATCGAGTGTTTGAATATTCATATGTCCAAGCATTTTGCCACCAAGAATCTTTAGACCAACCAAAAAGATATTGGGCATGTACATCCACATGTATAAAAGGCAAGATAAGCTTTGGTTAATCACTTTGATATTATTTCTAAAGTTCTTGATTGTTTAATATACTTGATATTGTGAACACTACTGGCTTTACCAATATGAAAAGCAATTTAGTGGGGAGAGAAGATGAAAATTGAGAGCCCAAGTCCTTGAGGACATAGAAGTATATAAAAAGACCATTTACTTTTAATATAAGAATGTCACAATCATCTTGTTCATCAAATTTCAAATTGAATGATTGTGAATGTATCATTGATTAAACTCAAAAGCTCAAAAAAACAAAAACTATTTCGAACTTCGTACACACCACAAGCCATCCAATTTGACATCTCATGATTCGAGAGCAAATGTGACCTCCTTATAACAAAAATAAATAGTCTCAACGTATACAATCCCTTAATGATCGAAAAATAATTTTCAAAATTCTGGGAAAAAATTTTAAAGGATAACAAAAGGAAAGAGGTATTCGTGTTATTAATTTACAACTGTGGGTACAATCAGAATTGTTTCGAAGAAAGGTGGGAACATTGTTGTTCATTTCACGTTAGCCAAATTCCAGACCACTGGTATTTGTTCAGAGAGAGAATTGTTCACAGAGAGAGAGAGAAAGAGAGAATTGTTCAGAGAGAGAGAGAGTTGATGTTCATTTCACCTTGTAGCCAAATTCCAGAACCAAAATTTGCAGTGGCAGGGTTAAGAGATCATGGAGTCTCACAATGTGTGTATGTGTGTGTGAGCGAGAGAGAGATGGCTCTATCAGGCATGTGAAAACTGTTTCCATGAATGTAGTTGGAATTCCATTACTATGGGATTCGGATGATTGTGAAGGTTCAAGGAGATTGTTTGAAATCCAAAGGTCCTCAAAATTCTCATGTAATGTGAATAAAACTGCAAGTAAGATACATAATTAATACAATGAATAGCCAATGGCACTAAGAATGGTGAACAATGGGACAAATAAATCAAATGAAAAGAACATCACAAGAACCCAAAACAGCAAAATATATACAGCTGATGAACCCCTACTCCATAGAATTTCATCCACAGTTCAAATCATCCTCAGAATAACCAGTGCTTCTTTCTAGGTTTTGCAGGTCTTGGAGCATCTACAAAAAAGATGAAAAATTAGGGTTTTCTCAATCATCTGAACAGGGATTAAACTCATGAATAAGATGATCCATTAAGCTATCAACATACCTTGAAGATCATAAAGAGAATTGTAGTGAACCTCTGACCAAAAGCTCAACCAAAACTCTGCAATATAAATGAGATGGTATGCATGATTGTAATGAATATCATGATTCACTCACCAAGGAAAAGCTGAAGATCAATCAGTTAGCCAATCTCAGTTGCATGGATATTGGTAGCTATTTCTTATAAGTCCCGTACAGCATTTCTGGAATGGCTACAAGGGTTTCATACACAAGCAGAGAAAGGAAACCTACATCCATACTTTCTTGCTTTATTTCTATATCCATCTGTATCATGAACGAAATGGTTCAATAAAAGTCTTAATTCTAACATGCTAACATGCCTAAAGCCCTAAACTAATACTAAATATCACATGCATAATGTCTTAATGGTAACTGAAGAAAATGACCACTGCTAAATGCATTATGCCATTTAATACAGTAGAAACCAATTGTAAAACTACGCACAATCCTCCCTCAGTAGTTTTACGCTCAGTAGTTTTACAGCTCCCTCATGGCTAATATGGCCATATTAGCCATGAACCGAATTTACTGAGCGAGCTGTAAGTCCTCCCCAATCAAGAAATGTAGATACTATTTCTGGTCAATAGAGCAACTAAGTCACACATGACTTTAATGAACGAACAACTTTTGACTCCTAAGGGTTTTCATGTGTGCAAGTGGGCAAGAACTTTTCTTGATGTCCTATAAACAACGCAAAAAATGAGAAAATAGCACAATGTCCTAGTGAGTTAATGGGCTATGTCATCAACCACCTTGATTTAGCCATTTGATTTCCTTCCTCACAAAAAAAGCAATCATAACCAATTACAGAGATCATGGGGTTAAATAGTTCGGTAATGTCAGAATAGTCTTAAGGGCTTCAGACCAAAAGAATGTCACAGCACATACCAAATATCCACAAATATGCATAGGAATGACTGATGTTACCTCGTTGAGGAGGCTGGAGTCGCGGAACAATTTCAATGAAGCAGGTGTCTCTAAATGAGGTTAGCAAACATATTTTAGCACCATACTGCAAACGCATGACAAGCAACATCCAACATTAGAAACAAATAAAGCATGTCTACTCAATAAGTTCATGCAAGAAATCAGAGGATAAATTTCAATATGAAATTAAATAACGTTGACGGAGATCACATTAATCTTATCAATAACTGACATACCTTCGAACTTTAACCTCTCAACAAAATATTATTTTCAAGTATCTATTGCATCTAATAGTCAAATTTTGCAGGCTTCCCCTAAATACAGGTTTCATCCTAAACTATGGGGAGGGGGAAAAGGAAAAAGAGAAGAAAATCCAGGTTCTTCCATGAACAAAGAAAACACAAATAATTCAAGGATACCTTGCAAGTACTTTAGAAATAAGACTAAATCCTAATTTTTCATAATGAGAAGGACCTTATCCGCAGCTGCTTGTAAGGTAACATGGTCTCCCCATTCACCAGATCTGCATAATGCAATTCATTAGCAACTGTCACATCAGCATCTTTATGTTAACATCGCAAGCTAATGATATATTAATTATCAGAAGAACCACACAATGTAAAAGCAAAAGATTCAAACAACCTGCAACAAGAAGATTTCTTACTTGGCCATTTTCTTGTAATAGCGCTTGTACTTCATAGGTACATAACTTTCATACAAAGTCCGATATTCTTTAAGCTGAAGAATAAGTAGACATCAAGTAAGCGGACCTGAACAGGATACCTCAAGCTTTCCAAAACTAAACCAAATGGAAGAAAATTTTCTCGAAAACAAGTCATTCAAGACCTACAATAGTAATGGCATCATTAATTATCAACACAAGGGATTCAACCACAACCAGGATAAATTTAAGTTAAGGGAGACCTTACGCAAAATACTGTTGTCTCAACCGAAAAAATATAGGGAAGCACTTAGCTTTCCAGGGAAAGAATTTATATAGTATAACATAAGATAGAATAATATATTACACTATAACATATTACTATGGCATAAAATGCTGACCCAAATAGTTGGGATAGGGCTCGGATGATGATTATGTCATATAATATTATATATATGTAGCTATGTGTGTGCGCATCTGCACACGTCCATATGCTTGCATAGGGTTCATTCATTATCATCGAACTGGTTTGTATCAACTTACACAGTAACAGAGTCCCAATGTTTGATTTTGGAATGCATTCACGTTGTTCAATATACTTTACACAAAATTATGAAAATAAAATATAAGGGGAAACAATAAAAATAAGAGAAGTAAAGAAAATTCAAATAACTCAAGGCATAAGAAAACCTGAAATAAATAGAAGGCAACTAAGCAGCATCTACCACATCAAAAAGCGTGCCCCAAACTGAAGCATAGATATACACATACTAATAAGATAATACTAAGTAAAAAGTATCTGATACAGAAAAGGCGACCGTTTGTATTACTGGATGTACAGAGAGCAGCCTCAAAAAAAGTCAGCAAGAAAGACAAATTCAGAATAAAAAACAGATACAATAATATTTATCAAAGTGCCTTCAAGACGAGAGAAGCACAGGAATACAGATACCTGCTTCACAATGTCTTTTCGCACATGTTTGTGATACTCAGGTGATCTGTACATCTGATCTGAAAGTGCCCGAAACTGCAAACAGGAAAATAAATTCGATAGTTTGCAAACTCATAGCCTAAGAAGTCTAAAAGCAATGAATTTAGATATACACACCTGACAATTACCATCTCCTGACACTTTAACCTCACATAAGCCATAAACATTTAACCTGACAGCAACATATGGAAGAACGAATCATGTCAATCTTTGGAACATGTCTCAGGTAGATTAGATAGTTCATCTGCTAGATGTATTCTCTTGGTGCAAGACTGAAAAAAGCACCAAGAGAATACAAGTTACAAGCTGGATATACTGATATAGGAATCCCATGCCTAATGATGCACAAAGAGAGAAGAGATGATACAAGATCCCTCTAGAATTTGATGAAAGTAATCACAAGAAATAACAGCTAGACCAATTACGTGGTTAAATTCAGCATAACTTTCTTTAGTACCAGCTGTTTGAATATCATCTAGCCATTTGAAAATCACTGCCTCATATTTCTGCAAATTTCTAACAATTTTCCAAAGTGCAGAGAATATTTTGGTGTAACAAAGAGGCAGCTTGGATACAAGTTTCAGCGCCTCTTCTTTGAATTTAACTATTTACATCTGACCATCATTAGCAAACCTGGTGTTCCATGAATACAGGTAGGTTTGTCAATGTCAGACATGGGTAGGGTGTGTCACATTCTTTGAACCTTATATATCAGAAGCATGGTTGACTGAGAAATCAAAACGTTAATGATTGCAACATGGGTATACTGCTACACAAAAGAAAAAAAAAATGCAAGAATAATCTGATGCATATAATACTCCTACCAAAACCAATGGATCTAAGAATCCAGATAGTGAGGAACTCCCAAGTATTTGACTGTGGTTCAGATAAGAGATAACAGGGAATGTGAACTGGAGGTGCGAGATGCGAAACCCTTCTCTATGTGTAGGATTTAAATAAAAAAATTTAATGTTAAAACAAGAATAGCTCAAAGTATTTATAGTACATGATTCTCTTGGGAGAAGAATCTGACAAGAATCCGACAAGAATCCGAGAAGAATCAATACATGTCCGAGTCCATGTGTTCATGTGTCTCAAGAATCCCCTCTTCAGGATTCTTTCGAATGGAGAATCCAGCGGTGTCCAATCCGTGCCTGTACCAATGTCTAGCTGTGCCCGACACAGGTACAGATCCTAGATAAAAAATCAATGCAGCATAGCTAGGAATCCCTGATAGCGGCAGAATATGTGCCAGTTGTTTCCATTGCTGCTCTAAGCTCCCTTCTAACAAATTGAACCAGAGAATAATTGTCCCATTGTCAGTTCACCACAGTGACAGAAGTTTACCGATGCAAGTTCATGGGAAAGGCCCAACCCATCCTAACATGTAAAAGAATACTTTACAAGATGATTGCAACAGGATTTACTCAGCATTAGAATGATTTTAGCAACATAAAGTTTAAAAAACCTATTTAGGGAATTATGAACTCATGAAGGTTGACACTGAGTTATTTAAGAAACTATTAATCCAGGTATATTATACCTTTGAAGAAGTCGTTGATGATCCAAAGTAGCATCGCTTACACTTGGAATGTATGCATTTATCTTCGGGACATGCTGCAATGTTTAAGATACATCTTAGTAGTACACCAAAAAATCCATAGAAATAACAAATTAGTGAATCTAACATACATCCACAGAATGAGTGTAACTGAGAAGAGGATGTTGAAATAGATGAGCAGCAAGATAAGAAAGGATAGAATTTGAAACGAATACATATGAGAAAACTTATAGGTAGCTCCAATAGGCAATAAGATGAGGGAAAATAAACTTAAGTGGTCTAACCATGTACAACGTCGACCTAGCACAACAGTGTTAGGAGAGGTGATTCGGCTCAAGTGAAAGGCTCTAAAAGGAAAGGGGAAGGCCCAAATGGAAGTAGTAAGTAGTGATACAGTGACTTATGGTTTGACTAAAAGTATGGCCTTGATAGAATGATGACACAAGATTCGTGTAGTCCACCACAAATAGTTGGGATAAGCATCAGATGATGATGATGATGATGAACAAACGGGTAGTCATAATAGAGCCTTATGGAGCTCCTTGCAGAACTTTAAGCCCTTAAAAGACTGAACAAGTTCAAAGAATGATAAACAGCAAAGGGAACCATTAAACGAAGAAGTGAGAGGAATGAATTCAGGACATAACAACCTAACCTACTACTTTCCGCAACAATTTAAAATTTTAAATGAATTTTTGAACATTATGTGGAATAGGCTATGGGAATGTTGTGACAATCTAGAGGGGTAACAGGTTTTTCCCATAATGATAGTTTAAAACCATCTGAAGTGAAGACTACATGAAAGACTCAGCAACCAAATTCATGGAGCTGCTGGAAAAGGCTAGAAACCAAACCATCTAAGCAAGTAACAGAATTTCATTCAAAGGAATCATGGAAATGAAACTTGGCATCTGAAGGCATAGTTGCAAATTGTACAGAAGACGTTAGTTAAAGGGAACATATACACGTTAGTTGAAGGGAACATATACTCAAGCAGCAATTTCACTCTTTAATGAAAGGGAAAATCTTGGAGACTGCTAGGAAAATGGAAAATTTTGTCCACTCCATTCCTGCTTGTATGCGCAAAACATTCCTTGACTTTAAAGAGGTCCATAACTATTTAAAATTGAAGGTGCCCTGTTTAAACATGCACTGGTCTACCTTATAGTTCTGCATTCCTAATTTATCTCACTCAGGTTGCATTTCTCACGCGATATTTTCTAAAGCTTCCACTCCATATTATTTATTACACATATATGAATTATTTTGTATATAGAAAGAAAAAATTCTTTAATAGAGAGCAATGGCAATTTAGGGGCCGTTTGGATACCTGAAAATATATTGTCTGTGAATATATTACTGACGTAATACATTACTGCGTAACACATTACCTGTAAATGGATTGTTACTATTTGGGTAGTATTTAGATGCAACCTGAGAAATACATTGTTATTGTTTGGCTATGTCTAGAAGAAATATAAGAAATGCATTACCAACATTTTACCAGCACGTGCCTATAAACTATCATTTCTTTCTTTTTTATCACAAAATTCCACTAACATGCAGAATTATCATTTCCTTCTTTTTTGTCACAAAATTCCACTACAATACTGAATTAAAATCATCATCACACCATTCCAAAAAGATTTCTAATAATAACATTATCACCATTCCAAAAAGATTTTCTAATAATAACTTGTACCATTTTATAGTCATGACACTATTTCTACTTATTTTAAGTACCTTTGGCACTTACATGCAATCACGTGCTTTCTAACATGACATTGGTTTCAACATGATAAGTCATTGAAACAATAAGATTGGAATAACATAATTTTATTATGATAAGCCTTATTTTTATTTATTTTTTATAGAAATCTTTCAAATGTCTCTCTATGTAATTTCAAATAAACAATAAATTTATGATACTAAATTCAAAATCTGTAAGGTACAAGTTAAAAAATGGGAAGAAGTTTGATTAGTAAAAAATTTTGAAGTATTGGAGGAGACTAAAGAGGTATGTTATTTCAATTGAGATTTTAGTAATCTCTTATGAGAATTATGTTGTGTGAAATTTGTTATTATGATTGTGTTGTGTAATTTATCATTGATTACTGATTTTTATTTTTATTATTTTTATTTTTATATGACAAAAGCCTTCAGATGAGGGGACGAGCTTAAAAAGAGAGGGATTTGTGTGAAATTTTTTATTATGATTGTGAAAGAGGGACTTGTGTGAAATATTTTATTATGATTGTGTTGTGCAATTTATCATTGATTATTAATTACTGATTTTTATTATTTTTGTTTTTATATGACAGCTGATGCCTTTAGATTAAGGGACGAGCTTAAAAAGGGATTTTTTTAATCAGAGATAGGGTAGGCAAAAACGCACAAAAAATTTCCCAAAATTACCTGTCAATCTCGTAATAGATTTAGATTTTTCACCTATCACCGCAGGTAATGGATTTCCTGAGTTTTGGGGAAATCTCATGTAATCTCTTTCCATTTCTTTACGATTAAGTGTACCCAAACAATGGAAATACCATATTTGCTTGTAATCTATTGTCCGGTAATAGATCTTTAGAATGAAAAGCATGCTTCTCTTGTTGTGAGTTCTTTGTAAGTGTCATGTTAGTTGTAGGTTGATGGATACAAGTAGATCAATCTAGACTTTAGACATGATAAATCATTGCAACCTATATCATAATATAAGTTGATTGACGTGAAAACAAGAACACAGCACATGGCTTTATTTGATCTACTCTAATATTCATATTTCATTTGATATTTGATTTGGGACTTCCTGGCTAAGTTATTCATTTTTATTTATTCGGAATGGCCATCACAATTGCCCCCACCAAGGCAACTGGAAGTCTAGAATAAGCACAGTATCCCTCCAAAATGAACGACAGCATGATAATGTCAAATTACAAAATTCTTTCAAGACATAACTTTACTTTCAATTATGAACAGGAGAATAAGATATTTGATTTGGGACTTCCAGCTCAAGTTATTCATTTTTGTTTATTCGGAATGGCCATCACAATTGCCCCCACCAAGGCAACTAGAAGTTTAGAATAAACACAGTATCCCTTCAAAATGAACCACAGCATGATAATGTCAAATTACAAAATTCTTTCATGTCATAACTTTAAATTCATTTATGAACAAGAGAATAATTTCAAAGAAAGAAGTATATGGCTCACAGGAATAGACTCCATGTGAGATAGACGCTTAGCAAATGCCCCATCAACTCTAGCAAATTCTTCCGATAATACGACTGCTATCATCCTGTCATCGTCATTATCTTGTTGACTGCTTAAAGAAGTTGAGCTAGACGATTCACCCATATATGGGGCTCCATGTGTCATACTGTACAAAATCTCTTCAACAATATATTGCCTCTTCAAGTCAAGGAGAGAATCTCTGTATGTCTCTCGTAGGACTGTAATGTAAAAAATCATACAGTAATCAAGAATTATGTTATTCCAATCAAACCCCCAAAATCTTCAAGGTTTATCATTTGCTATCCCTTGATGACAACTTCAAATAAATAACATAAACAGCATATAGAATTGAATGATTTTATTCCAAAAAGAAAAACGAAATAGCATTTTGTGATCCATATGGTCATGATAACAGTATGGCCAAAATGGTTATCACCATCCAATCACTCATGATTTGATGGTTATGGAGGAGAGTAGTACATTCACTTGGATCAATTATATGCTCGTTTGGGCCCAACGTTTCAACCACTCAATACTATTGATGGAAAATGATAAACCTTTTTTCTTGAATTTTTATAGAGGATACCTTTTTGACAAACTTTTCTTGATGGAAGGACTATAAAACCAATGAACATGATGTTATCATGGCTAAATGAATCACGCCATACTTTTCCAAAAAAATTTAAGTCATGGATATAAAAAGAGTAGCAAAACTAAATACATTATCTTATCAGGAGAGAGGTTTCTGAAATTTTCAATTTTCAGTCAGGAGACAGATAAATTTCAAAATAAAGCGGGGAAAAAGAATGAGAGAACCTTTTCTCGTATAGATAGTCATACATCAGAAGGGAAAGATATCAATGATCACACAACAAATTATACAATTTACATCATAAAGAAATGCCATTACAAGAATTGCAATGGATTAAACAAAACAATTCCCCAAATTTCCCTCACAATTTACATGTTCTCTGATTCCAAAGCTTTCAATCTCAATTTTCTCTCTTTGAGCAACCAGAAAAGAAGAACCCAAACAAAAAGGAATATAATACCAGAATTAAAACAAGAAGTTCAAGAAATGTAAGAACAATTTCCCTTTCAATCCATAAGAAAGCATATCTAATTTCAACAAATTAATCACAACCAGGAAATTCAGTAATCTAATTAATCATCAAAACAAGGAAGGAAACACACCCAACTCCCTAAAACCAGATAAAAAGCACAAATCCCAACCCAATTTCCAAGAAAAAAAACCACAATTTGCCCAGCAACAATCCAAAACAACGAAAACTCTCTAAACAATCAAATCAAGTTCGTCAATACCCGATCAGAAACCAGACTTTTTCTTACCGAATTGTGAAAGCAGCAAGCAATTAGTCCTCAAAATCTGAACTTTCACACCATGGAAGTAGTAACAAACCCTAGATTTCGCGTGCAAGTAAAACCCTCGATTTTTCAGTTGGGGATAAAACTCAAACTAGAATGAGGGCGTCGTAATAAAACACGCTATTTTACATACAGTTGAATGAAACGCGTACGGCAACGACAAAGATGTGGAGTTTTTTTTACTCGGAACCAAAAATTGGATAATATGAATAATTGAAGGCCAATGCTTATTAAATTTATAAAAAAAAAATTAGAATAAATTAAAAAATTATAATATCTGGTTTTTAGAATAGACGGTGGACGAAATGGAGATACTGGGTCATGTTGGATTATTTCCCTATATAATTATGCACTAGTTTCCCTCGGTTTGATGACTTGGGAAGTTTTAATCAATATGAAATTTTAGGAACCACCTACGAATACCTGGATGATTATTTTTAGAATAAAAATTTTGAATTTTAAGCTTCCTTATTCCTAGATCTCACCTTAAAAGAATTTGGACGGTCTCTCTTCAATCTCGAGACATTACTTTTTTTCAAGCACCTACAGTGCCATTTGAAGTATCCCTAGTTGGGTTTTACTAAAAGAAAAGGTTTCTATACTTCCTCACTAAATAAAACATATATACTTTCCCTATCCGGTCATTCAATTTAGATAAAGTGAATCGCTCACTGTTTCATCTAGATCCAATGCTTCAAAATATTTTATTTAATTTTTTTTACAACTTGTATGAATACGAAATTTGGTACTTGCCATTTTCTCAATCGGTGCATTTAAAAAAAAATATTGAAAATAGTTTTTTGATCAAATATAATAACCAAAATACCCCTTAAAACTTTCAGGGGTAGTTTGATCATTTTATTTTATTAGGAATATTTGTTTTATATTTTTTTACAAGTACGAGTTTAATAGTCAAGTGGACCCCCAAAATTTGTTGTCAAAATATTTTGTAGAAAAAAATTAAAAATAAAATAGTTTAGATACGTGACATTATGCTTGAGGTCATCTCAACCGACCATTCAAAATGGACAGTTTGCTAAAGGAAAAATATAAAAAGCTTAGCCCTTTACGAAATAGACATATGCTCCTGTGGGAGCATAAAATCTTGTTGCTCAATGGAAATTAATCCTAGACATTACCTCTGTCCTCACCGTTAATCAAATTTGAGAGCTTATACTGTTGCATTGGCATGTACTATATAGCTGCTCCCTCATGCAGATGGCGTACTTGTGAGGATTTTTTTCAATACAAAATTTTGGGGACCACCTAGGAACCACTAATGATTATTTTAAAAAGAGAAAATTGAATTTTAAAATTTCTAGCTTAGATCCCACCCTCAAAAAATTGGAAGGCCTCTCTTAAATCTTGAGACATTATTATTTTTCTATGTATCTAGAGTGTAATTTAGAAAAAAAATTTATTGAAGTTAGTTTACGAATCGAAGAGGTTGCATCCAAAAAAGAGGTCCGTTGGGTTTTACCCGAGAGAGTAAATGGACAATATGTTTCGGAGCGAGAAAGAAATTTTTTAGCATTTTTTATTAAATCATAAAATTTGAAGGGATTATAGATTTAAAGAGGTCACAGGTACTCACCTGAGTCATCTTAGTCATCAAATGTGAAATTGAGCAACTAAATATGAATACATAATAGTGGCATAGACTAATACATAGATACCATACCATGTCCAGCTGCTTCTATACAATTTAACAAAAAATAGTTGTAGTCCATAACTAACTCAGCCTTAACTCTTAATCAAAAATTTTTAAGTGAAAGCTTTTTATACTTCTCCTACCGTATAAAAGATATATAGTTCCCTCCATCCAGCCATCCAATTTAGATCAAGTGAGCCATTGACCATTTGATCTAGATCTGACGCTTCAAAGTATTTTATTTTAATATTTTTTTACAAGTCATATGATTATGAAATTTAGTACATATTATCATCTCAATGGAGCGAACCTAAAAAATATTAAAAATATTTTTGATAAAATAAAAGGACTAAATTTTAAGGGTATTTTAGTTATTTATTTTACCAAGAATATATTTTTATATTTTTTGCAAGTGTTAGTTTAAGAGATGAGTGAACGCCCAAAATTTGGTGTTAAAATGTTTTGTAAGAAAATTAAAAACAAAAGAGTGTAAAGATGTGACATTGTAATTGGGTCCATCTCAACTGTCCATGCAAATTGTCGGAGGGATAGGGGGCGTATATAATTGCTATATGTTAGGGGAAGCTGCGGTCTTGCTTGGTTGTCTTGGTCCTCGTTAGACCGGGCCATATGGTTGAAAAGTATTTTCCTTAGAGCGTGTAAAGATAATGAAATATTATTATTTATGTTACTCTTAGAAGTTTATTGGTCAATATGACAATTATTTTGAAAGTTTTATGAAACAAAAAAGTAACATGCCAAATCATTAGAGCTGGTAAAGGTAGGGCTTATACCGGGCTGGGGCTAGCCCAGACCCAATCTGTTTCGCTACAGGCTCGGCCTTGGCTATGCCAAGCCAAAGCGGCGCTAGCATGGTTCAGGCCAGGCCAAGGCAAGTCAAGCCTAATAAAAAGTTAAAGAAAAAACTCGAAAGGGAAAAAAATAGGATTTTGCCGGGCCATGGCCTGGGTCCAAGCCTTCGGCCAAAATTGTAACCATGCTAGGGTTGTTTATGGGGCCTAGGCATGGCCGATAGGTTAATAAATAAATCTAAAGTTTTGTATGTATAATCAAATTTAGTACATTAATCTCTATTTCTAACTCAAACCAATTGCTAGATTCTCTTCTAGAAAGTATAGGGAAATTGAGAATGATCATTTACCTTGGAACTCCAAGTATTATTTTGAGTGAGGTGTGATCAAATCAAAATACCATGCATAGCAATTATTTTTTATTGAATTAACGTATTTAAGTATGCCATTTTTTTAGTACAAAAAACTCATACTGAACACACACATACACCCCTTTAAACAAGCTGTTAGTAGTATTATAGACCCAATTACAACTAAGAACTGTTTCACAAGTTCAAGTTGCCAATAGTTGATGAGGAGTTGAAAATATATTCTAATTTCCCAAATAGTCCAATTCTCTTGAGTTATCTGAGAAACACTTATTTGCTTTGGTATGAGGATTTCAGCAACCAAAATTTATTTGGATTACTTCTTAAATCTTTTTGACATTCAATAGTATATTTGTGTAGAAGTAGAAAATAGTTATTTTTAGTTATATAAAAAAGGACAAGCTTTCAATGTTTTTTCTACAACATAAAACTTATATGCTTCTCCTTATCCAACCATCCATTCTCGATGGGGGGCTAAGATTGCCCCAATCACAATGTCATGTCTCTACACTATTTTATTTTTAATTCTTTTATATAAAATATTTTGACGCCAAAATTTGAGTGTCTAATCCTCTATTAAACTCACACTGGTAAAAAATAAAAAAATAATTTCCAATAAAATAAAATAACCAAAATACTATTGAAAGCTTTAAGGGGTATTTTGGTCATTATATTTTATCGAAAAAAATTAATATTTTTTTATAAGTGCTCCCAATGAGAAGATGGTACGTATTAAATTTCATATTCATACAATTTGTATTGAAAATTTAAAAATAAGATACTATGAGGCGTCGGATCTAAGATTAAATGGTGAATGGCTCACTTGATCAAAATTGGACAGCTGGATGATAGGAAAAGCATAGATCTTTTATGCTGTAAGGGAAGTATAAAAACATTTACTTTAAAAAGGTGAAAATAGCTTTTTTATTATTATTATAAAAGGGACAATCGATCTTTGATCTCTTTTGTGGATATCTTGTCTCAATTTCCAACACTTCTACAAGAAAAACGAGGGCATATTGGGGTGATTTCTTGAGTAGAACTTAGTGTATATACAAACCAGTGTTCTTTTTTATTTTCTTTTTTTTCTTTTTTTTTTTTTTTTGGGAGAAGTTCAGCCAGCAAAGAATCCTATACTTCCTATAGGAATAAATTTCAAGGCGTCACACTATAACGTTCCACCCTCTTAGCCATAGCATAGTATATCTTTATTATTTCCCCAGGTGTAAATACATAGTATATATCAAAAAAATACCGTGTGGTGGCCAACTCATCTGCCTTGGATTGCGAAAGATTTGGAATTTGAAATATATCTCAATTCGCCATAAATCTATTTTTCACATATCCATGAATTTGGGGCTCAAAATAATGCTAATCTGATGGTTTATGAAGAACTAAAATGAACAGTCCCAGGAAAAAAATACATATTAAACCATATTTAAGACCGAATTTCGGTTTTTTTTTTCCCCAAATTCATGATTGTATAATTATATAACATACTTGCAAGATTTTGGAGACAATCCATCCCCAAAATGAATATTAGCATAGTGGACTCATTGTAACAGGGGGGTATCTCGGGTCTTCAAAATTTACAAGGTTAGGTTGGTACTTTAAATCTCCATCTTAGAATGCCTGCAAAAAAAATATGGAAATTGGCCCAACGGATTTTCAAGAACTTCTTTTGTATTGACTGAATCAGCAGTTAAAATCCCGGGTTTAGAAGAGGTCCCGAGCCTGAGTCACCTGGTCTGACTCAGCGGAAAATTTCTAGAATCACCAGGGTCTTGGTTGAGGCCAACTTGACCATCTTTACATCAATGGTCGAGCCAATTTCATCATCATCGTCAAAACATTTTCCCAACTCATGGGATTGAAGTTTCAATCAATTTCAAAAGGTAACCCTTGTGCTGCAACCCAAACTTATTTGAAATATCAAATTACCCCATTAATATGACCTGAATGCCAGAAAAACTCATTTTTGGTTATGTTTGTCCTGAAGATACATACTGCAGCTAGGCTATTAATGGGCCTGAGCTAGTCTGTGTGCTTTCGGGCTAGGCCAAGTTCTGGTCTTGGCTTGGGCTGCATGTTAGACCTGGTAGGCCCGCTATACTTTGGGCCAAGCCCGGGTCCAACACGAAATTTTTTAAAGTACATATTGCAAATATTTAATATATTGTGCATGGGCTAGCCCAGCTTTATTTTATGCTCTGGGCTGGCTTGGGCCTCATTATCTAGAATTTGGGACAGCCCGAGTTTGGCCCAAAACTAAAATTGCAGGCCCAAGGCAAACCCCCAAATTGTGCTTAAGGAAAATTTCTCCGTACATCCTAATTTAGTGTATGATTTCTCCGTAGACCTTAAATTTTGAAATTTTTCTAACAGTATCAAGTTTCTCACTTTTCCCAATGATCAATATCGCTTCAGGCATGCGGTGTAAAAAGAGAAAGAATAGT